ATATATATATATATATATATGTATATATATAAAACATTTTTTCGTAATATATGAAAATCTACATTCTTATGTTCTATGTGCACGAGGCGAGTACGAAAGGAAAAAAATAATGTTCGTGTTTTACGCATTAATAAAGCATCCGTTTTTTCGTGAATTCGTGGCTTCATAGTAGCCGGTCACACATGCATAAGCTTTGAGATCTAGAAAGTTCATAAAAATAATGTGCAAAAGGTCAAAAAAGGTTCATCTCTTTTTTTTTTAGCAAAAGATTTAAATTCCCTTGAACGCGGTATTTTCATCCTCGAACGTTATCCCCGTGAGAAGTTTTTCTTTCTTATCACTGCGATATGTAAGAATACGTACGAACATGTAAGAATATGCAAGAATACGAAGAAATACGTTTTACGAATCACGAAAGAAGCTGATATAAGCGCTAAACTCGATTGGACCCGGTTTTACGTTGTCCTTTCCTAAATAAGCGACTGTGACTGATTCCCCCCATTTTTTCACCTCACCTGTTTCACATGTGGGAGACTTCCCTACATACAACTAAATGTTACAAACATCCTAGTATTGTCTAAGAGTGCTCTTTTCACTTTTTGCTACTTCTCATTTTCAGTCTATATCATCCGGTATTTATAAGAGCTCGATTTATATTTATACATGTATATAATTCTTAGATTGCAACGAGGGAGAATACTCGTCTAATCTCTAATCTCTACACGCCAAGCAACTATGTACATTTTATATCTTCTTTCGCTTGAATCACGCCTAGTCCAACATTCGCTAACAAAGAAAAGAAGATAAAAGATCGAACACAACAAATACTTTTTTGATCGTAGATCGCACTTATCCATTGTATTTTTATCTACCTAAATAGATCTGCCACAAGTAATTATCGTGGAAGATATAGAACGTAATAAATTCTCATTAAAAACAAACATGGAGATCCTTCTAGTTTTCACTTTCTCGCTTTCACAGTTTATGTTGTCAGAATAACGTAGTCTCATTGCGTCTATCGCGCGGGTTCGATTGAATTTTAATCATGAAACACGTATCAAGAGGTGCTGTTCCTATGCTTCTTGCTCTTCGCCTTACCAGGTTCGAAGTCGTCCTCGCTCCTACGTCGTTTTTCCTTCAGCTGCTTCTCCATCGCCAACATTGTGATCATTTTCTTATGGGAATCGCCTACTATCCATCCGTGTTGTTCCTGCCGATCGTCCTCCTCCTCTTCCGGCGCCGGAATCGGTTCTGGCGCCTCTTCTTCGTCGCTCGAACTGGACCAATAGTATAATTGAAGAGCAGCAGTGCGTTTATGTCGACCGATTGCAACCCCGACGCCTTCCTCGACCTTGTTCCATGACTTGGTGGTCTTTAGCTCCTCATCGTCGGAGTCGCGTTTTCCGCTGGATGATCTGCGTTCCTTAGAATCCTTGTTGTTTGCGGACTTCTTGAATTTCTCCGCGGTTGACTCTTTGCTTCTCTTACTCGTCGAGATCTTTCCATTCTCGGGTTTGGAAACTTTCTTTGACTTCGCTGGCGATTTCGCGAATTTCTTTCGTTTTGGTGAAGTTGATGAGTGGTCATTCTCTGCGTTACTTTCCGCAGTGGAGAAAGCACGATCTGATTTGTTATGATTGTCTTCTGAGCTATCAAGGAAAGACTGATCAATATACATTGCATTCTCCTCAATACTCTCGTCGCCACTTTTCTTATGTTTCTCTTTCGTCTGATGTTTTTTCCTCTGAATTTGTTCGGAGACGACAGTTTCTACGACATCAGTATCCAAAGCAACATTATCGTTTTGTGCAAGGTTCTCTTTTCTCTTGCCAACCTCTCGCAGAATTTCTTCCTCGATCGCTTTCTGCTCTTTAGCAATCATCTGCTCATGCTTTTTCTCAAGGTATCTCTCTTTTCTTTTCTCCTTCGATTCCCTCTTCTTCCGCGACTTGTCATGATCACTACCTTTCCTGCTGCTGTCTCTCACATATGATTCCTCGTCCGAGCTACTTATTTCCGCTAGCAGACCTTGTTTACCTATTGCACACTTTCTTTGTCTTCTGGTTGGCTGAAAATCCATAAGTATCCTCTCTTGCTCCTCTCGTAATTTATCTAACTGCTGTTGCTTTCTTTTCTTTGATTCTTGTACCTTTCTACTGAGAAATACATGAAGAGGGAGATTGTGATCAGATTCTTTCTGTGGTTTCTCGTTACTAGACAGTTTCTCGGGCAAAGCTGGAACATCGTCATCTGGTTCCTCCTTCTCATCTCGCATCTCCGTAGGGCTTGGACATTTGTTCTCCGTTTCCTCATTAACAATTCTGTCGTTAGAAGTTTCATCCATAGTGCCGTTGACGATGTTCTTTGTACATACATTCTCAGTTTTCGGATCGAGATTCTCATGCCGATCTAGAAAATCCAACGCTTCTTCCAAAGAAATCATTTCCGACGCACAATCATCTTTCGTGATCGTAGAAGTAAGTTTCGTCTGCAAAGTTGCGTTTTCATCCAATGTTTGCTTTTCAGGTCTGTTGTCCTTCACTTCTTCAGTTATCGGCTCTTCGTTCTCTTCGACTTCTGTCTCTTCATCCGAGCTATCTTCCCTATACAAATCATCCAGCTCAAACGTTCTCTCGTACTGATTATCCGCGTCGTCATCGCTGTTCCTCGCATCGTCGATCATTTTTCTTTCATCTATCACCAAAGAATGATCTGACATTTCCGATTCTGATTTCGCGAGGTCGTGATCGTTCTTCATAGTATCTTCCTGTGTTTCCTTCACTGCTTGATTCCAATCGCTTGCTACTTGATCTTCATTGTCGAATTCAGGTTCATTGACTATGCGTTGATCATCCGTCTCGTCGATGTCGATGTCGACGTCAAGCGATTTCTTCGAACTTTTCTTTAATTTCAACGAACGTTGCTCGTTCGCGAACATATAATCGAACATATAATTGTCACGTTCGTATTCGCTCTCGGATGATGTCGATAACTCCGCAAAGAGATTCTGTTTGCCTTTCGAGCACGAGCGTTGACTTTTTGAAATACCAACGCCAACATCTTCCGTTTTCGCGGCTGTCCTGAACTCGTCCGAGCTATCGTTCTCATACCATGCGTTTCTTACTCGCTTCTTCGAGCTTTTACCTCGTTTCTTAATCTTGCCAGATTGCTTGATGCCCTGCTCTATAGACCGTTTCATGCGTTGCTTCCTTTCCACAAATTCGTCCATTGGTCCGGTAACTGCTTCGGTAATCTGTTGCTGTTGTTGCTGCTCCTCGCTCTGGAACGACTTCAGAGCGCCTTTTGTCTTTGGCGCAAACTTCTCCAACTCTTGGAATTTACGGTTGATTATAGCGTCCAATTTAGTGTTCTCGACGTAATTCGTCCTGCCATTCTGCAAGACAGTATCCAAGTTCTCATCGGTATTCTTTATCTTTGACCAATTGGTGTCATAACTCTTGTCGATTTGGCTCCTATAAGACATCACGCTACCCAGAGTGGGCGCCATTTGGCTCTCCTCCTCATCAAATTCGTACACATCTTTTATTCTCTCTGTCTCCTCTTTCCGATCGAGAGAATCGCGACGTTTCTTCTTCTCCACTAGGCCGCCATAGTGTTCGCTTCTACGGATCAACGGGAATTCCCGTTGCTGCTGCTTTTTGCTCTTCTTTGACTTGCGTTGCTTTTGCATGTTTAATTCAACGAAAGCAGCCTTCGAGCGTTCCTGTTGCTTTCTATCGTTTATCTCCTTCTTGCGCTCGAACAATTCTTTAATAGGGTTTCTCGTCTTCTTCGTTGGCGAATTCTTCAACGTTATCGTTGAATCCTTCGTTGGCTTCTTAGGCGAAGTCGAGGTGTCCTTGTCCACTACCGCAGCCGCCGCTGCAGCTGCTGCAGCGACCGCTGCCGCGACTATTTTCACCGATTGATAATTTTTGTTACTGTTCGTGGTATCCTCCGGCAGCATGGAGGTCGGAGCTCGAGCGCAAGCCAATTCCGCCAACAGCTTCATTGGAGCGGAACCGCTGCGAAATAAAATAGGTTTATTTTTATAATAACTTTTTATAACAACTTTATTAAGCAATAAATGATCGTTCGGACATCGATAGTGAGATTCGTTATTAAATGTATGATCGTGTGGTTAATTGTATAGAAAATATGAAAATGAATGACTATAAATATATCTATTAAAAGGTCCTGCATTCTTGATGTGTGTGACTTATTATATAAGTTTTACTTTTTATATAAGTTAATGAAGGAAACAAGCGAGGAATTATTTTATAACAATATTTTTCAACAGTATATAGGTTAGCAAAACATACAATTGAAAAATAGTTTTGTAAACAGTTTTATAGAGTAATTGTAGATTTAATAATGGATTCATTAATAATTAGTGGAAATTCATTGTTATTCGGATAATTACCCCAGAGAATGAAGTCGAATATAGCAAACAGAGAAAATTTCATCACTAACGATAATAAATTATATAAAATTGTTTAATTCACACGTAGCCCACATAAAGCAAACATGTTACTGTAATAAATCTTATATATGACGTACATAATGAGTATCATTTCTTGATCTTTTAATTTTAATAAATTTCTTCTTTTGGAATCAATATAAATTATGGAATCTAAATTAATCGATATTATTGTGGAAATATCTCTTTATTCCATTTCTGGAAATTATAGGGAAAGTATTTACAAGTATATTTTCATTTCTTTAAACAAAGGAAATTTCCAGGAAAATATATTTGATAGTAAATAAATTAGAAGGATAATAAACACGGGCTACATATGTGCTCGCTGTGCTTTACGTGTTATATACTAAATTCAATGTATCGCCAAGCGCTACATGCTGGTGCTGTTAAGGGAGAGATCGTTCATCGCGTACAGAGTGGAATGACGAAAGCGGATCAATACGTAACACGAACAAATGAGCATCGTTCGACGATGGTCTCTCGACCATCTTTAGTGAAAATCGAGCATCAAGCTCGAATAATTCCAGCCCAAGTGAAGAAGACAGAGGGTATAATGTTTGCCAGATGTGGATTGTGCGGTACTTATAGTTTACAGAACGTTGTACGACAAAACTCGATTTTTGTCTCTAGAAAGACAATCACAAATATTATTTTTTCAGAGAAAAAAATGACTAGCCAATATCGTATGCGCCAATCATACGCTACATCTAGTTTAGCGTAATCGAAGAATTGGGTGAAAACAAAATATATATGGGTCACGCAAGCAGATAAACGAGCAATCAACAGGTGTCGAACCGAGGTGAAACTGAAAAATGCGTTTTGATACGTGAGCCATCCTGCAAAATATTTTTAATCATTGAAATCTCGTTACATGTATACTATTAATTTCGAATATCTTTTTACGCTTTTACATCAAGACGGAATTTTAGAGGAACGTATTAAAATATTAACATCTGTATATAATATAAAAATAGAATAATGCACTAAGTTCTTTTGTGAACATATTAAGAAAACAAAAGATTGTACTAGCAAAAGAATAAGAATTCGATATGACTAAGTTTACAAACGACAGCTGGCTACAATTTTGCTAATTTATTTTCATGAAGTACTTATGAATTTGGAGAACCTTCGTCTTTCTTGAGTTCGAAACCTCATTAAACTTATCAAACTTATCCACATCCAACTAAAAAGTTCATTATTATAATACACTTCTATTACGTTAATAGAATATTAATTTGTTTTCTCAAAATTATTCACTATACGACAATATATAACAAAAATATTTACAATATAAATATTACGCACAGATTTGAGTATCGAGATACTCACTTATGATCATGTTTGCCATTGCTATGTAACAAGTTG